GGAGAGGGAAGGAGGGAGGGAGCTGGTTCTGGGGGGTGACAGAGCTTGGAGAGCGGATGTGAGCGGGATGGGAGGGCAGAGGGGGTCTCCGACAGAGCCCGGAGAGAACTGAGGGGTGGGGTCTCTCTCAAGATCACGGAGGCCGGGAACTGGCCGCGCCACTGGGGGGACAGGATCCCCCCTTCTTTGCTACCCGGGGCAGAGGGCCGAGCCCCCCAGGCCCTGCTCGGGGCGGGGGGCCGGAGGTGGGAAGCAGAGGCGGCCGCTAGTGGGGGCCCGGGGGGCGGCGGGCGCGGGTGGCAGCGGCGACTGGGCTGGCGGTGGCTGCTGGCCCGAGCATCTTCTTCCCGGAGGCTCCCACAGCGGCCTGGCCCCTCCCACCCGCGCAAGGTCACGCCCATGCCGGTCAGGGCCACGCCCTTCGGCACCCCCATTGGTCCACCCTTGAAGCCTGGGCCACGTCCCTCTGGGTTAGCCACGCCCATCACAGCGGGGGAGCGAGGGACCCGATTTTCCCCCCAGGATATAATAAGGACTCTGGGCTCCTCCAGGCCTTCTCCACCCTCACCTTTAATGAGCATTTCTTGAGCACGTATTAAGTGCCAGGACTGATTCTAAGTAAGCACTTCGCAGACGTTATCGCATTTAATCCCAGAGCAAACAATATTGTGAAGGACTTTTATAACTCCCATTTTACAGATGAGGAAACTGAACCCAAGGGACCTGACCTCACTTGGTCAAAATACATTTAATTTTTTAATGTCTCCTAACCCCGACATCATGGGATTTCCCTTTCAAACCTCGCGTCTATCCCATGAAGAATCAACACGAGGTTGCTATATAGACCCAGGGAACTGAATTCAGTAAGTGCCTGAGTTAAAACATGTAGCCCTGAGGCTGGTACAAAACTTCCTTCGGCAGTGCTTGTGGGCCAGCTGCTAAGGACTGAGACTCCAGGACCCAACAGGGCACAAAACCCAGTTTGGGCCCTTGTAGAGTATTACTATTCAGGTCAGTGAGAAATCCTGATTTTTCAGATGACAAGTGAAGGTCTCGGGGACATGGAGTGTGACTTGTTCAGAGGCACACAGCTAGACAGAGGGAAAACTGGAATTTTGAACAGAAGACAAGCTTAAGTTCTCAGCCTGAAGTCATAGGAAGGAGCGGGTTCTTCTTTGGAATGAGATCATTGATAGTAGTCTGTGTTTTCTGATACATGAATTATCTTCTCCTAGATTCCTGGTCTCCAAGGATTCCTTCCCTCCTAGTTTGGCCAGAGGCAAGGTTAGGCTCAGAGGGGGCCTGGGTGAGAATAATTGTGGCAGCTGTGGGGGTCTGTGGCTCTGGGATCTGCTCCATCCCACCTGCCCCTCCCTTGCTACACTCTCAGGTCCCCAGAATGGGGGGAGCAGATGGCCTGGGGTGGATGGGGTGGCCGCCCATCTGTCCCCTCCCCCCCATTGTCCCTGGAGCCAAGGGGGATGGGAGGGGGTTGTGGTCCACTGCAGTCTGGATCCTCCCCCTCTATCTTCCTGGAGGGAGCTGAGGAGCTGGTTGTCATGGAGACAGGGAAGAGGCGAGAGGGATGCAGGGAGGTACTGAGGTCAGGCTGAGATCTACACCTTAGGCCCTCTTAGGCGGGGAGACTCGTGCCACACAGGTACATATCCCAGTGTCCATGGAGTTGGGGGTGAAGGTCCCCCCTCACATACACACAGGACCTGTGGATACACAGGTGCACGGGCTGGACACAGTTTCACACAAGCTCACTGATGGATGGATGAAAACTCCCAGGGGACCCACGGTGTGCGCGTGCGCGCGAGCGCACACACACGCACCCATACTCACCTCAAATGCACATTCAGTCATGTGGACCCAAAGCCACATCATACACTAACACACGCAGATAAAGAGATGCATATCTAATATCAAGGCAGTCACACCTAATATCCAGGTGCACACGTTCAGATTCACAATCCCATACGTGGCCCCAAAAGCCCTGAAAAGTTATATGATGTGATTAAAAGCCATAGACACGCATCGCCTATGTTACATAAGACATACATTTTAGTGACATGAACTGTATAGACTGATGAACCGCCTTGATCACACGAATTTAGATACCTAAGCTTAACATACACAATGATCGGACTTCTCGGGCCACACAACACACATGGAGTGCTGTGTGGCTCAGCATCCCCCCCATCATGCCTGCAGCCCCGGCCCCACCCACCCCTTGCAAATCCTCCCGTTTGGACACACACAACAGCACGGTCGGTCACGCACTCACACTCACACACAAACACAAACCTCCTCCTAGATATTTTTAAACCTAGGCTAGTTCCGCTGCCATGGCAACCGCCCCAAACCCATCACCATAGCAACCCAACGTCAGCTTTCCAAGCACCAAATCCTGGGGGATTGCAGGGCCCCAATCAGAGGCAGGGGAAGGGGGCTGAACCCTCTGCCCTCGTCTATGCCACCCCACTACCCCATCCTAGGGCTTTCAGGGGAGCACTCATCCTAGGTTGGACAGGGGCCAGAGGCAAGGACACCAGAGACCCAGATCAGGCTGGAACAGGGAGCCCTCCACCTGCTCTTCGCTCCTGCCCCATCAGTGCTGAATGGAGGGGCTCACCGCAGTGAAGGTCAGCCTGCACCTGGTTACACAGGAGACTGCACTTGAATCCTGGCTCTGCCATTTACAGGCTGTGTGATTTGGGGACATCCTTACCCTCTCTGAGTCTTCCATTCCTTAATCTGGAAAACGTTGCTGTTGACACCCATATTCCTTAAAGAGCAGTTGTGACTCGGTGACTAAAAGTCCAGACAGATCTACAACCAAATTCTGATCTTCCCACTTTCTAGCTTTGTGAACTAAGGCAAGGGGACTTCCTTATTCTGTGACAAAGTTGGGGACCAGATAGTAGTCCATTTACATTGGGCTGTTGGGAAGATTCCCCCACTGAAGGGAGAGGTGGCCACTGTTTTAAGAATTTTGTACATATTCTAACTTATTGAAGACTTAAGCATGGCCTTATGGATAGGTTGCTGCTATCACCCCATTCGGCAGAAAAGGAAACTGAGGCACACAGAGCTTGCCTGGAGTCACAGAGCCATAAAGTTCTGAAGTTTGGGATTGAACCCAGGCAAAGACCCATTCTTAGCCATTTCTCTCTCCTGCCTCTGAGAGGCGGGAGTTTGGAGAAGGGTGATGGAGTGGTGGATTCTTGGAAACGCTTTTCAGCTTTTGTATCCTGGGATGAAAGGCCTCAGTTTTCTAGCCTGCAAAGTGGGAATCGAAATGCTATTGCTGGGTGGGGTGTTGGACCTATGAAGCAGCTTGTACCTACGGGGTTCTCAGGACAGTGCTCCAAGTCCGCCAGGAGCGGAACAGGAGGGGTGGGACCAGAGGCCAAGTGGGCGGGCTTCCCATGCTCAGGCTCAGGAAGGAGGCTGGCGAGGGCTGGAGGGCCGGAGGGCCGGCCTTCCCAAGCTGGTGACCTCAGGCATAGTTTGCCTCCAGTCCGAGCCTCAATCTCACCATCTGTCAAGAGGGAAGGATCCCCGTGCTCGGGATGTGGTGCGCAGTCCACCAGCAGAAGCGCACAAAGCCACTTGGCACAGGTCTCAGCAAGGAGATAAATTTGAGCTGCTATTAATATCATCCATCCACTCAGTCCACGGGATTTAGGAGAGGCAGAGGCAGGACCGCGGAGCGTAGGGTTTTGCAAACTTTTTTTGACTGAAACCCAAGTTTCACCTGAACGGTGCTCCCTCTCTACCTTGGTCTAGGCTGTGTCTACGCTGCGTGCTCAGATGCTGATCTCTTCTCCTCTATTAAAAATGCTGGTTGATTTTACAGGTTACTAACTGGTTGTGACCAACAGTATGAAAAACCCTGGTGTGGAGTTGACATAGTGCAGTCCTGTGGTCACCGGAGGATTCCAAGCAGGAATGACTTAGGCATCAAGGGGCAAGGGAAGGAAAGAGGGCAGGCGACTTTGGGATGGGGCCAGTGCAGCTCCTGGGAGGCGGGCCCCTTTGCCTGGATCACCCCCCCCCGCCCTGCCCCAGTCGGACCTGGGGAGATGCGGGCATGTGACTAGAAACCAACACCTGAAGCAGCTATCTTGGTGCCACCGTGGAGACAGATTTGCTTCTAAGCGGGAGCAATGGAAGGCTTTTGAGCCGAGGAAGGATACGAGCAAGATCCTTCTGACTCCGCGTGGAGAACAGTGTCAGGGGCAGTGACAGAAGGAACCGGGCAGGAGGTGATGTGGGCTGTCCAGGTGAGGGGGCTGCGGCTGGCCGGATGGGAGACAGCGGTGCAGGCGCGGAGCCACCTTGGAGACCAAGCTGTCTTGGGAGCGACCGCCGTCTCACTTTCCAGAGCCTCAGTATCCCCATTTATAAATGGGGGCGTCGGGCTCCTTGGGGTCTGGTGTGGCTAAGTGTTCAACTGGTACTGCCTGGTTTTGTCACTGTCCTCCAGGCTTCTGGGCTGGGACATTTCTGTGTCCCGTCTAGGGGTACAAGGGAGGGCTTTGGGGAGGAGGCTGGGGAGAGGAGGTTGCCTGCTGTATGCTGGCTGAGTCTCATGGGTCCTGGGGACGTTTGAGGCAGAGGAACCTGGAGCAAAAATGCCTCGGCTTTGAGAGGCCGTTGGGGTCTTTTATTCCTAACAGGCTTTTTGTAAGACAGGGACCTTGAGGCCCAGAGAGTGTTTTTTCCTTGCCCAGGAAGCCACAGTGTGTTGGGGACTGAGTTGGCCCTAGAATCATCCCCATCTCTTGTCTCTCAGGCCCGGTGCTGGCTGCCACCTTGGTGATTTTGGCATCTGACCCAGTCCCCACCCCTACCCCAGCCTCAACATCTTCCTGTGACTCCCTCCTGCCTCTGGGATCCATTCCAAATTCTTTGGGTTGCTCAGGCCAGAAACCTTGCTGCTGCCCTTGGAACCCCTTCCCCTTCCCCGCAGCGGGCCCTCCCTGCGGCTCTGAATCTGGTCCCTTCTCTCCAGCTCCACCAACACCACCCGGGGCCACCACCTTCCACCTCAACCCGGGCTTTCTCAGGAGCCTTCTTCTTCCGTTCCCTGCTTTGACCTTGTCTACCCTTTCCAACCTGCAGCCAGGGGCTTCCTTTTCAAGGGGAAGTCAGACTGTGCACTGTGGTGTGTGTTGTCTTCAAAAGAAATAAAATGGGAGTTTCTGTAGAAACATCGAGAAGCAGTTTATAGTGCTTTAACTTCTTTTCTTTTCCTCTCTCTCTCACTCTCACTCTCTCATCTTTCTTTTAGTGCTGGGGGTCAAACCCAGGGCCTCACATATGCTAGTTAAATGCCCCACCATTGAGCTACACCTCCAGCCCATAATTGTACCCATTTCTGGGGTACAGTGTGATAAATCAATACATGTATGCAATAGGTCAT